AGTTCCTGCCGTGGATACTTACTTACCTCTTTCAACTCAACATTCAACGTAGAAAGGGAGTCGCCGCACTCCACGTAAGTGTCTCTGTATGAACACTTACTTCCCCCTGGAACCTTGACCACAGTCAAGAAGTTCCTCACCCTCGTTAAGGGGAACTACGAATACTCTGATTCTATTCTTGTCAGGATACGTAGGCACAAGATGCGATTTCTTGGCGAGTATACTTAGGACTAACCCCTTAGGTTTCCTTCAACCCTTTAACATACCTTTAACAGACAGATACCAAATAACACATATTAAACAAGAGGTTCATATAGAGTACTACAGATGCTTAGGATGTTAACACCTTTCCTAGGTATAACCAACCCCCGAACCCTAGATCTCCCCGCATTGTGTTTACGATGCAAATTAGGTTTTTCTTTCTTTAACCTTTCCTTTGGATAAATCAAAGACCAATTGCGAATTCAATATTTGTGATTCAAATTAATCAATAACTTGATATCCTATTCTCACCACAACAGAGGGGATTCCTTGAGCTTTGGAGAAGTTCAATCAGCCTTGTATTCTAAGGACTTGAATAAACGAAAAGAGCATAAACCTTCAACGGTGGGCGAAGGTTTGACCGTTTAGGGAAAGTTCTTGTGAAAGGATGGTAAGTTCGACAAGAAGAAAGGTAAAAGTCAGCAGAAGTTTTATAGTGGCGAAACATCTGGTATTCGATGTTATCATTGTAAGAAGGAGGGTCACACAAGAAAGGTGTACCCTGAACACCTGAAAGATCATGGAGGCAAGGATAATGGAAATGCAACCATTTTTCAAGATGACTTTGACTCATCTGATGTTCTTGTGGTTTCAAGTGGTGACTCAAGAAAAGAGTGGATTATGGATTCAGGTTGCACTTGGCACATGACTCCAAACAAAAAATTGTTTGAGGAGATATGTGATCAAGATGGTGGATCGATAGTGCTGGGAAACAACAAATCTTTCAAAATTGCAGGTATTGGATTTGTGAGATTCAAGATCCATGATGAGTCAATAAGGTTATTGGCTGAAGTCAAGTATATACCTGATTTGAAGAGAAACTTGATTTCTCTTGGTGAATTCGACAGGAAAGGATGTGTTTTTCAAGGAGAGAAGAATATCCTAAGAGTCATGAAGGGGTAAAAGGAAGTCTTGATAGGCGTGAAGAAACAAGGCTTGTAAACCCTTGAGGCTGAGGTTGTAAGTGGTTCGACAAATGTTGCATCCATGAAACCTGTGTTGAAGACAGAATTATTGCACGTGATATTAGGCCATGTCAGCGAAAGAGGCCTGGTCAAATTGGGGAAGCAGAACCTGCTAGGAGGTAACAAAGTCGAAAAGTTGGAGTTTTGTGAATCTTGTGTATTTGGTAAATCATGTAGGGTGAAGTTTAACAAAGGCAAGCAAAGAACAAATGGATCCATGGATTATATTCATGCTGATCTTTAGGGGTCTGCAAGGAATCCTTCACACTCACGTGCAAGTTACTTTCTATCCATCATTGATGACTATTCCAGAAAGCTATGGGTATCCATCCAGAAGACGAAGGATGAAACTTTTGAGAATTTCAAAAGTTGGAAGGTTCTGGTCGAAACTCAAACTAGAAGAGAGGATAAGAGGTTGAGAACTGACAATGGCCTTGAGTTCTGCAATGAAGCATTCGATAGTTACTGTGTTAAGTCTAGGATTGTAAGGCATAAGGATGTAGCAGGTACTCCTCAACAAAATGGCATACCTGAGAGACTCAATCGAACAATCCTTGAAAGGGTTAGATACATGTTGGTTAATGCTGGATTGAAGAAGGTGTTTTGGGCAGATGTTGTTTCTACAGCAGCCTATCTAATAAATAGATGTCCCTCGACTTCCTTGGGAATGAATACACTTGAAGAAGTTTGGTCAGGATATCCACCTAGTCTCGACAGACTGAGAGTATTTGGCTGCGTGGCCTATGCTCATATTAGGCAAGACAAGGTCGAACCCAGAGCTCTGAAATGCATGTTCATGGGATACCCTGAAGGAGTCAAAGCTTATAGGCTATGGTGCTTAGAGCCAGGTTACAAGAGGTGTATCACCAGTCGAGATGTAGTTTTCAATGAAGCATAGATGACTTTCAAGAAAAATGATGATGCTAACGAAGAGTTGAAACAGGGAGAGATTCTTGTTGAGGTGGAGTATGTTGATGTTGAATTGCATATTCGAGATAAAGTCGAAGAAGAAGCAAAAGATGTTGTCAAAGATGAGGAGATTGATAATGACTACCTTCTAGCAAGAAATAGATCGATGAGAGTCATCAAGCCACCTCAAAGACTTGGGCATGCAGATCTTATAGCTTATGCCTTAATCTCTGCAAGTGAGGTTCTAGACGAAGAACCTAGAGACTATAAGGAAGTTATGAGGAGTCGAAAGAAGACTGAATGACTAAAGGTCATGGATGATGAGATGAAATCTCTTCATGATAACAATACTTGGGAACTGAACAAGAAACTTGCTGGAGCCAGGTTAGTCAGTTGTAAATGGATTTTCAAAGTTAAGAAAGGAATCGAAGGAGTGAAGTCGAAAAGATACAAACCAAGATTGGTCGCTAGGGGGGTTCACTTAAAAAGAAGATTTTGACTTCAATAATGTGTTCTCTCCTGTTGTGAAGCACATATCCATTTGAATGTTGCTTGCCATAGTGGAACAGTTCAACCATGAACTAGAACAGATGAATGTGAAGACTGTATTCTTGTATGGTGATCTAGATGAAACAATCCTTATGAGGCAACCTGAAGGGTATGTTGAAAAGGGAAGGAATATCATGTGTGCAAGCTGAATAGATCTTTATATGGACTAAAAAAATCTCCTCGACGGTGGAATAGGAGATTCAACAAGTTCATTGCATACATAAGTTTCATTATAAGTCAATTCGACCATTGTGTTTACTTCAGATTTCGACCTGATAATTCATTTGTTATTCTGTTGCTTTATGTGGATGATAACAACAATGTCGAAGATATAATGCAGGTGAAAGTTGAACTCAATAAGGAGTTCGACATGAAGGATCTGGGAGCTGCATCCAAGATTCTTAGGATTGACATCCGAAGAGATAGAAAGCAGTCGAAATTATGCTTATCTCAATAGGCATACCTACGGAAGATTCTCGAAAAGTATGGTATGTCAAATTCAAAGCCTGTTGGGACTTCGACAAACCCTCAATTCAAGCTGAGTATAGATCAATGTCCCAACCCTGATGTCGAAAGAACTTACATGAATAACATTCCATATGCTAATATAATGTTATGTAGTAGAAGAGGCATACCTATGGAAGATTCTTTGATGTATGTTATGGTCTGTACTAGACCCGACATAGCATATGCAGTAAGTCTTTAAGCAGGTACATGGAAAATCCTGGAAAGGCTCACTGACAAACATTGAAGTGGATTCTAAGGTACATAAATGAGTCTCTGAATAGAGTCCTAATTTATGGTGGAGCCTTGGGTGAAGATAATAAAGCAGCAATCGAAGGATATGTTCACTCTGATTATGCAGGTTGTATGGATTCCAGAATATCTATTTCTGGATATGTGTTCACTATGTTTTGGACAATAATCAGTTGGAAAGCAACACTTCAGAAGCTCGTTTCCTTATCAACCACTAAAGTGGAATATATCTCCCTAACTGAAGCTGTGAAGGAAGCATTATGGCTTCAAGGTTTTGAAAAGGAGCTGAATCTTCAAGGTCGAGTTATCACTGTTAAATATGTAGTCAAAGTGCAATACACCTGTTGAAGAATTTAGCCTATCATGAGCGAAACAAGCATATTGATGTGAGGCTGCATTTCGTTAGAGGGGTAATCGAGGCGTGGAGAAGTCCAAGTATTAAAGGTTTCGACAGATCATAATGCCACTGATATGATCACCAAGACCTTGCCAGTTGCAAGTTTTTCCATTGTATGCAGTTGATAAAGCTGTATGAAGAAATCTAGTTTCTTGATGTTATAAAGTTAGATCCAAGGTGGAGATTTGTGAGATATTAGATCAATTCTAGTATGCTGTCCGAGTAATGTGTTTGTAGTCGAAGTTTGTTCTAACATGTATTAGTCAATATTGCTAGGTTTGTTAGCATGTTGAATTGGACCTTACTTGTAAGCCCAATTGTTTAAGTTAGCTTTTATCCTAAGTTAACTTGTAATGAGTAATTGTTAAAAAGCTCATTAGATTAGTGTGTTAGTTTTCTTATAAATAGCATGCTAGTCTCTCAACTTGTATAAGGAAACATAGGAAGATAAATTCCTAATTCAAGAGAGAGAGGTTATTTGTTATTCTTGTATACTTGTAATTTTGTTTGATAGATAAAGGAAATAATATCAATTTATAACCAATCCTTATTGTTTCTTCTTGTTCTTCTTACTTGTTTTTTTTGTTAAGCCTAACCCTTGTGTGTTTCTTGAATATAAAGAAAACATTTATATTTTGTTTCAAGACATCCTATTCACATCAATAATAAAGAAGCTTTGTTCAAATAGCTTTATCTAATAATAGTATAATATATATAAGAATTAAATATGTTTGTAGTCCTTCTAAATATCTTAAATTTTGTTTTTAGTTCCTCAAAATATTTTTTAAGGTGTATTATTGTTTAAAAGACTCTTAACTTTCATTTAATGTTTATAAAAAATATAAGATTAATAAGCATCATGAATACACATAAGTATGATCATTGCTTTTGAAACCTATTTACCATTAATAAGTCTTTGATATATAACTTTTTCAATCAATAGAGTATTTTAAGGGAATGATAAGCATTTAATTTTCTTAGGTAGGGTAGATAGTTGAATAAACTTCATATCTTTGCCAACGGACAACAACCCATCACCAAACCCCAACACCAAGGTATCTTATTCTTAGTATAAATAAAACTTTTCCTATACTCGTCAACTTCATTCATAAACATTAACCATCCATACTATACGTGAAGTGATTATTAGTGAGATAGAGAACATGGTGAATCTTGTGGAAGCACAAAAACCATTGATGCATGCTCTAATGAAAATGGCAGGAATAAGACCCTACACAGTAGAGATAGAACCAGGAACCAAAATGAGTTTCTGGGTGCCTTCAGAAACCATAACAAAACCAAAGAAAAAAGAGGAAAAACCCAAACTCATCGCAAAACCCACCAAGCCCGTGGTTGTTCTAGTCCACGGTTTCGCCGCAGAAGGAATTGTTACATGGCAGTTTCAAGTTGGCGCGTTAACAAAAAAGTACGCTGTTTATGTTCCAGATCTTCTGTTCTTCGGAGGTTCTGTCACAGACAAAACAGACAGATCACCGAGGTTTCAAGCGGAGTGTCTGGCAGCAGCGTTAAGGAAACTGGGTGTGGAAAAGTGTATTCTTGTTGGTTTTAGCTACGGCGGAATGGTGGCGTTTAAGATGGCGGAGATGTTTCCTGAGTTGGTTGAAGCTATGGTTATATCAGGATCTATTTTGGCTATGACTGATTCCATTAGTGTTAGTAGTTTGCAAGAACTTGGATTTTCTTCTTCTTCTGAACTTTTGTTGCCAAACTCTGTGAAAGGTCTTAAAACGCTTTTGTCTATTGCTGCTTATAAAAAGCTTTGGTTTCCAAATCGTTTGCACAAAGATTTTCTTGAGGTATGTTCACTTCTGCATCACTTTTTTTGTTGGTTTTAATACATAGTTTTGAATGTAAATAAATATAACTTTAGGTATGTTCCTATATGAGAATCTGACTTGAACCACCTTTATGTGTATGCATATCATTCATGGATTTGAATACACTTCCAGAGATAAATTCAAACTGTGATAAGGGATTGGTTTGAAATTAAGACAAGTAATCAAGATAACATGACCCATACCTATTATAAAATAGAAGCTTAGTTCAACTAGCTTTACCTAATAATAGTATAAAATATAGATAATAATAACAATATAACATTGATTTGTTTATCCAAAAATAAGTCATAATATGGTATAGTAGTTGAAACTACTAGTCTTACGTTTTTCGCAAAAAGTCTCATTTGATGGGCAACTATCTCTCAAAAATAAAAAATAAAAAATCTTCTACCGCACATTGACTGCAGAAAAAAAATTGAATTAGTTGATTGAAAAAATTTCTCAAATATCTTTCAAGACAATTTTACATTTTTTTAGATTATATATAAATATATATAATTTTGTTATATATGTATATATTGTTATTATTAAATTTTTGTACAGATAACACATGTTGAAATCATTTCGATTATATATTTATTTATAAATGCACATGTTGAATTTTTTTTTAAAGATTTTTCTTATTTTTGGTCCTCTGAAATGTTACAATTTTTAAAGTATTATTGTTTAAAAGACTTCTTTAATTGTCATTTAATGTTTATAAAAAAAATTATAAATACATTTAATACTTCATGAGATATAAATAAAAATTTTAATTAAATGATCATAATTAATTTTTTTTATAAGTAAATTGGGTTAGAAAAACGGAACAAAAGATGCATAACCTGATTACAATCACTAAAAAGTACAAGACCAACTGAAAAGGACGATATCCAAAACAAACAAAAAGAAAACAAATTCAGCTAACTCAAACCCTTAAAGATGAAGTGACACATCACTCCGCCCAAGAGAGCATACAAACTAAGGATTTATCGACCACAAGCCAATCCCATGGCAAATGCTTAATCATCTCCAAAACATCAAACTTGACCACCAAACTTCAATAAAAATTAATGGAATTTCTACTAAAACAAATCGTCCAACAAATAGTTAGGCAAAACAACTAACCAAAATCTGCTTTAAACTTCAACTTAACCATCACCTTAAGCGTCCAGATCCAATCAATAAGATACATCGATTAGAATAGAAGATCAATGTGACGTCCATCTAAAGCTTGAGTCCACCAAACCTTCGAAACGCAGCAATCGCCAAAAAGATGGTCTAAATCCTCATTCGACCCATTACAAAAAGGGCACAACAAATTCGAAGAACCGCTCAAAACACCCTGACGCTCAAGGTTTATACTTGATAGAAAACGATTCAACACTAATCTCCACCCAAAAATCAACGACTTACTCGGAACCTTCGTCCGTCACAAACACAGAAGCGCCTCCAAAACAACCCCGTCAAAAGAAGGTTTAACTTTGCAACACTCCATAATCCTACTATAGAAAAGCTTGACCGAAAACCCCGCTGGACTCCTCCTCCAAACTGTACAATCATCTTGTTGTCGGTCCAGCTTCCCCTGTAGCAGAACCGCCTGCAGTTCTGCTAGCAGCAGAGAATATTCCCAGTGCAGCAGACCATCGAGCAAAGCCAGTGCCCACTGCCAACTTCCTTCAATCCAGATTCCATTATGCGCAATAGTGTTACAAGACAGATTATCCATACAGGAAATAGAGTAAAACTCCCTGCATAAAGGAACATCACCTAGCCAACTATCAACCCAAAAATTAATAGATTCACCATTACCAGGATCGAAGGCTAAATAATCCGCGAACCAATTCGCATTACTCGACATTTCTCCCACAACACATAAGTCTTTCTACCACATAGAGACTTTCTTTTCCACCGGATAACGAGAATCTCCAAGAATAACCCTCTTTAAGTTGTCGTACCTACAAGATAAAAGCTTGTACCAAATTGCGCACAGATAATTCAAAATGTGCAAATTGCACTTACATAATAGAGCAAGATTAAAATTACCACAATGTTTGATTCCTAGCCCACCATCCTTCTTCGATAAACATACCGTATCACAACAAACCCAACTAATCTTCTTCTTCTCCTCCCGCCCACCCTAAAGGAAAGATCTTTTAATCTTAATGAGTTTCGTAATAATCACCTTAGGAGCTTTGTAAAATGAGAAGTAGAACATCCGGATGTTCGAAAGGATGACATTGAGAAGCACCACTCTTTCACCAATAGAAATATTAGTTTAACCAAAAAGAAAGTCGCCTCCTCATCTTCGACAAAATCGGAGTGCAAATCTCCTTCTTCTTAAGATTAACACCCACAGGAACGCCAAAGAACGAGAAGTTTGTATAACCATTATCACACTTAAGAAACAATGTCGCTGCTTGCACAAAATCCAAATCCAAATTTAAACTCACAAGCCTACTTTTAAATAAATTAATGCACAATTCAAATCGAACCCTCTAAACATAACCTTAATGCTCTAAAGGTTCTCTCACAAACCATCAGTACCAATCAATTAATTACTTATTTGGATGTTGTATTGTTTTTGTTATATTAAAAAACAGAGAGTATTTTATATAGTATTTTAATATATTAAAAGGTGGATTAAAATATTTTATTTTAAACATGCTCACATTTAAATTTTGGCAGTTGAATAATAGTAGTAATAAATTGATTGCACGTGAGCTTGCCTTAAATAAAACATTAATAAAAATTAATGTTGAACGCCAAAAGTTAAATTATAATTAAAATACTATTAGTTAATTAAACTTTATTTATGTAAGTAAGAGTTGTTTAAAATATTTTTTAAAACTTTTTTTTAAGTAGATGTAGTCATGTAGAAGATTTGAATCTGCGTCTAAGTATCTGATATATTTATACAATAATCAATTGTGTTGATTTAATCGAATAATAAATAATATGAGATGTAATTTGAATTTTTTTTTTCAATAATTGAAATTCCATCCGTTATGGATTCGAATCCACGCTTTTTTACATCTATCAACTAAATTCTTTAAACACATCTAACTTGAATTTTAAAGTGAGATTTTGATTCATGAGTTTTTCTTTTGGTTGTTTTAGTGCTTCTTTACTTTTGATTATTTCTAGTGTATCTATATTTTGCCAATGCCCATTGTGGTTTGGTGGAACTTTGTTGTATGTTGGCATTTCTTATGCATGTTTTTTTACATTATTCATTTTATCTTTTTTTTTTTATAAAAAAAATTCTCTTTATTTATATATATTTTTAATTATGTGGATAATTGCAGGTGATGTTCACTAATAGAAAAGAGCGAGGTGAACTATTAGAAGGGTTAGTAATTAGCAATAAAGAAATTGACATTCCAAATTTCTCACAGGTAATAATATTATATTTGTAAGGGTGAAAACCAAATTTCTCCAAGTTTGTAGTTTACTAATTTATCATAACTTTGCAGAGGATACATCTTCTATGGGGTGAAAATGATCAAATTTTCAAATTGGAACTTGCTCAAAATATGAAAGAGTAAGGCTCTACCTCTATATATATACTTCTTCACATACACACATATAGTAACATGTATGTATCCAATATTACAGGCAACTTGGAGATGGCACAACTTTTGAAGGCATAAAGAAAGCTGGTCATCTTGTTCATTTGGAGAGACCATGCGTATACAATAGATGCCTCAAGCATTTTATTGCTTCCTTCTTGGCGTCAAATAAAACCAAATAATAATTACTCAATTGTTACTTCTTCTACTCTATAACTATTTGGTCTTAATTATCTTAATTAATTAAGTTGGAGTTGATTAATTGTCTCTCAATATATTCACTGTATTTTACAAATTTCATATATAATAAGAAGGTTTTAGTTACGAAAATATGTTTCTTCCTCTCCTAACTTTTATATGAAACTTATATATAGACAAGACAACGGGGTGGGATGGGACGGACTGAGTTTAAATAGACCTAGATTCGTCCCTACCTCCTAGATTCATACCTGTATTCACGCCAAAACTTAGTCGGGGTTAATAAGTGATCCCTGACTCCCCGCCCCCGCTTCCATCGAGGAACAAATTTTTTCGTACCCGTTCCGTCTCCATCCACATAAAGTGTATTTTTTAATGTATTTTTTCAATAACAATAAAAATTAATAATTTAACTAAATAATTGATTATTTTAAAAATAATCATAATGTTAGATCATTTTTATTTAATTTGTATTTTAAAATAATAATAATACTAATAAACATGATATTGTAAGATTAAGAAGTGTAAATGAGTAATAAAATTATTAAAAATAAAGAAAATAAATTAAATTCAATAGGCGGGGGCGAGATAGGGTACGTGCAAGACAGATACTAACAAAGGATTCAATGCTTTAGAATTTCCAAGAGCTAAGGCCTCTTGCTCTTTGTTCCATTCCTCTTCAGAAATCAACACATCTACTACATCCTTGTCAGTCTTCACAGGATGTTTCCACCCTGAATTCACAGCTCTCCAAGCCTTGTTGTCTATAGATTTCAAGAATGCAATCATCCTTGGTTTCCAATAATCATAATTAGATCCATCCAGAATTGGAGGTCTATTAGTGAAACCTGTATCTTTATCCATAGTACCAGAATTTGTTTTCCCTAGATCTCACCCAGATTTAAACAGGCAGGGTGCCTGCTCTGATGCCATTTGAAAATTCTGGCAAGCACACGATGGATGTTATTCCCAAGGTTATAACATCCACGGTGACATCTGCTATTTAACATCTAATACTCAGTAATAATAAAAGCAGTAAATAACACAACAATTATTTACCCAGTTCAGTGTCAACAACACTTACATCTGGGGGCTGATGGGCTAGAGACGTGTCTACTTATGCGTCTAGCGGTATCTTACTGCAAGTGCACAGCCTATCGAAGTAATATTTAAGATTATCGATCCACAGGGATTCTATGGTTACTTAGTGCTAGATGAACTTCTAGTTTAGCTAAGGCGAATGGTTGTCACGATTTTTTGTTGGTTTTTAAGACTATTAAAGGCGGGATTAAATTTAAGTTTTAATAAAGTAATATTAAGGCGGTCGGTATGTAATTATACTAACTTAGGTGGGTCAATCTAACCTAGGCTTATAAAGGTGTTCACTTAATCTATTCGGTAGAGATTACCAGTTTAAATACCCTCAACTCACACTCTCGTGGTCTTATATCAGATCTTATCCCTAAAGCCCTATGCCTGCTCTCGCTAGCCCATAAGTGTTTAGAGGTAATTTTTGGAAACTAAGTAATTCTAATTTATCTTAAAGCGCTCTCGATGTGTTTAATTTAAATGCCTAACTTTAGCTATCTGGTTAAAATCTCACACTCTCGTGGTCTTGACCTAACCTAATACTCTTTTCTTACTCTCGTAACGAAAAGGTCTATTTCAATTAAAAAGTATCAGCCAGAATGTTAAGTGATTAATTATTTTTAGCCTATGGTTATATTTTACCGATTACGTTTGTTATAACTACATACCGCCCTAAGGTGTTTAGCTACTCATCGATGTTGAACCAGACAGAGACAGAAAATTTAATAATAACGTACTCATGGCAGAAAAATAAATAAACATTATAATTAAATTAAATTGCAATATAATGAAAAACCTGGTTAACAAATATTCGAGCAGACTCCTTCTTCCACAGACCGGAAAGCTTGGAGTTGGCGGAAATTGAAAATAAACGAATGCTGAAGGTTTAGAAACAAATAAATGTATAACAATTTCCTGATGTTGGAAATTGTTATATGGCGGGTTTGGATACAATAAAAAAAACGAAACAGAAAACTAAAAATAATGCAGGAATAGAAAGGCTGGTTCGTAATACAGTTCGGCAGAGCTTCCGCAGGAATTTGAATAAAAAATGCTCTGTGTCTTTGTTCATAGAACTTGTACTATTTATAGAGTCCTTAATGGGCTGGATTTTTGGACCTTTGTTGCATGGGCCTTGCTGAATTTGTGGAAGGAATGCAGGAACGTGGCAACAAAATAGGAGAAATGGTCTTCACGTAATGCCAATAGGAGAAATGGTCTTCACGTAATGCCTTGACGTAGTCTGAGTCAAAAACCTAATTTTACCCTTGTCACGGTCGTGACAAGGTCTTCACGTTCGTAACTTGTGGTTTTTAAGTGTCACGGTCGTGACCACTCTCTTACGGTCGTGATGGCTCAAATTGGGGTGTCACGGTCGTGACACCCTTGTGACGACCGTGGCTGCAACAAATTATGCAGTTTTTTGCAGGCTTCTTCATTTCTTCATCTCTTTATGGTTTCTTTTGTTCCTTTTGCTCTTAATTCATGATTTAGCTCCATATAATGATGTACGTGCAAAATGGTAAGAAAAACTCGAGAAATCGAGTGTTAAAACGGTGAATATGCGATAAAACGTTAATGAAACCTAGCAATATAATCGATGCGTTTTCTCGTTATCAAACTTCCCCAAACTTAAACCTTTGCTTGTCCTCAAGCAAATAGTCGGTTGAAAATCGGCGGACAAGATTTTATTCACGCATACTCATAACAAACCGTACGAGGGATCGTTTTGTCGGATAATCCGGTACTTTGATAGAACACTGCCGATACACTAATGACACAAGCAACAAGCTATGTCGTCGACTTCCCGTTAAACGAAACAATCGGCAATTACATTACGATTTCACCTGGAGTTTTTCGATCTTATTTCGCCCGGTTTCATTCTGGCGCAATCACATTAAGCCCTTTGCCTTAGCACGCACGTAGTGGAGTAGCCGGTTAGCGACTTTGATCCTTTTTTAGCACAGGGTCTGGTACACGAGTGTGGTAACCCTACATATTTTATCCGATTTGGAGGTTGTGGGGGATCGAGCCGTAGCACGCCCTACCGAGTTCAGAACCAGTACCTCTGAACCAACTTGCAATGGACTCCTTCTCATATTTCTCGTTTCTTATATGCGATCGTGTACTTTGGTGCAATTTCTTTTCATTTTGCATCGAGATATGAAGGATCATTATTGATTAGGCATCAAACGCTTATATTCATCGGCTCCCCACGTGGTTTGTGTTCAGACGGTGCTGACTGCTAGTATAAACTACTAGGGGTTACTTTTGAACTGAAACTAAAAGTGTACTCGTAATGATAATCGGGATGGAATTGCTTAAGTAGGGAGTCAAAGATGTCAAGATTGTATTGGTCTTGTTTAATCGTTCTCGGCTTCCTAATTACGATTCCGTAGGTAAGTCGGGTAATGCAAATAATTAAAGATTTTTTCTGGTATAGCTAAATAATCGGGGAAAGTTCGAAATTAAAGAAAATAGCACAAAGATTTGCTCATTTCATTAACTTGCGAAAAGAAATACAACGGAATTGAAAATACAACGAAATGGAAAAGTGCGAAAAAGGGAAAATGCGGAAATGAAAGGTACCTCTCCCACACTATATCAGACATTGTCCTCAATGTTGTGATATAAATGCGGTAAAAGTACAGTACAACGACAAAAACGAAAAACAAACATAAGCAAACTAGAACTATGGCTGCTGAGGACCGCGGGCTCGGCCTCTGGTGCGGGAGCGGCGTCTGGAAGGAGTCGCTTCAGGATCAGAACCGGTGCCGGAGGCAGCAGTGATGTTAATGCGGAGGGCTTCTAGCTCGCTGAAAATTTCTCCAAACTTCTCATTAGTAGCTTCCTGGTTTGCTGCAATAGTGCTGAGTAAAGCATCATACTGCTCCTTCTGCCTTCGCTCCAGTGCGGCGTTCATCTGGTTCTGCTGATGAATCGCACGGAGGACTTCCTCAAGTGTGATTTCGGGAGCAGGGGGTTGTCGGGTAGATGTCTCTGGTATATCCTGGACAGGCTTAGCTGCATCCATAGCGTCCTGCATCTCATTCGCTGGAGGGTCTGCCTGATCATCATGAATAGGGACGTGATCGGCAGCAACAGGTAAAACAAAGAGCCAGTTGGCTCGGTTGGATGGATCGATGCGGTCGCGGGACGACAAAATGATATGATGGAAAATGGTGCCATGGACAACAGGGCTATACCTGCCATCCTCTCGCTGCGCAATCAGGTGAGCGGACCTGCAATAACTCTTGGTGAGGAATTCTGCGGCTAGGTGAGGCTGATTAACGAGCAAGCCACCAAGCCCCAACTGAATGGCGAGGGTGGTGCAATGCCGCCTATGAAGAACGGGGTGGAGCCTCTGTGTGCAATGGCTTGGATATGATAAAGCATGAAAGGGGCAGCGTTGATCGGCTCGTCATTAAGAGCGCAGTGTAAGAATAGAAGCTCCTTGGAGTTGAGCTTATGGTTGCTTTCTCGAGCGAAGATGGTGTTGCATATGACACGGTGGAAATAGCGGATTGCCGGGTTGTGAATGTGCGTAGCGTTGAGGCTTTGGAAGGCTGATGCACGGGTGTTGGTTAAGTCGTGCCATAGAGTGAAAGCTTGTTCACTAAAATTATCGGGCACACGACGATGAGCTTCAGTTTCGTGATCGAAGCCTAACAACTCGGCTATCCTGGTTT